AACGTCCCTCGGTGGCGAATAGCCGGAGCTGCTCGGTCGACTCTCCAAGTACTGGACTGGCACACAACTAGCAAGGAAACTCTGGGTCACACGCACACGCGCACACACCTACACCCGCACCTGAACCCGCCCTCCACTCAATCACGCTCTCATACACTCACTTACACGCACACACACACAAACAACCAAGGCCTACTCACACTCCTCACTCTTATCCCTTCCTCCCTTGTGAAGCGGTTCCTACCAAGCTGCACGTTAAAGAACCCACTAAGCAAGGTTCAGGGTTGACAAGGTGGCAAACTTATGTACCGTAACGTAACCCTCCTGAGCGTATCATTATTTCTATTGCTCGTGCGGAGAAAAAGGTGACGTAAAGACTCTACATCACGTATCTGTAAACGTTAATGACTAAGAACAGTCCTCCAGCCACCCGCAGTCAACCACGGGGCCACTCCAGTGCGCTCGGCGGAGACGCAGGCTCAAGCCAGCCGACCAAAGGTCGAGAACCGAGGCCCAGGTGCATCAGCGCACTTTTCGGCCTTGCAGTTCCGTTTGCCATCCGCCACCTCCCTGCTGTGCCGCTGGGCCGCTGTCGCCGTCGGGCGGCACATCCGCCCGCCTTACGCGTATGCATGACGTCACCAAATGATGACGTAATTTGGAGCATATTAATGATGTGAAATGTCGTTATGTAGAGAAGTTTCTTAGCCTTCCGAGCTCACTGAGAGCTACAATAAATCATTTTCCAGCGTGTCTGATGCTGGCCATCAAATGTGGAACATTCCTTTTAACACTTGAGCGTTATGTTGCAACACTTCCAACATAACGTTAAATACTCATTTGCCGTAAACACAACAGTTTAAACCTAAACACCTATATTTTTACAGGCGACTCAACTGACCGGTGGGGCAGAACGCTTAAAAAAAGTAACACGATCGCACGCACGCACACTACTGGGTTTCAGGGCCAAGTATGAAATCAAGTAGGGACGACAATACCGCGAATTTCTAAGGAACCAGCAGTTTCCATGAAATTGGTGAGTCCAGGCGACGCGAGCATGAACATTAATGATGCACTCCGCTGGAGCGAGGGTGAATTCAGGGGGAAAGGGGGGGGGGGGCGACCAGGCTAACGGCTTCACCTCAAAATCGCCAAAATCGGGGCAAACAAAACGGATTTATGTACTCTGAGACAATCGGTGTGTGCCATTGGGGGCTTCACGACGCACTCGGCTCTGCTGAGGTCATATAGGTCGCCTGCCTCTCACTCTGACAGGACGGGCGGAACCGCGGGGTGAAGATAATCCAAACATTTTTTTTCGACCGAAAGTTTGTGACGCACTTCTCCTTGAGGCAAATAGAAAGAAAACCAGTAAGCTTGTGAAAATCCAGACACCTTTCTGAGCAATTCTTCTCCAAGCTGGCCTTATCCAACAAGGCGGCATTCTGGACCCGCCCGTGGCTGGAGGCCATGACAACATCCGTGTGCGTCCCATCCGCGGCTGCGTCCTAACGACCGTAGCGTCCGGTGCAGGCCCGCGCCAGAACCCGCTCAGGACGTGCCCGGCGCGCCGCTCGCCAGTCCCGCAGCAGAACACAACGTTAGCCGCTCCTTCACCAGACGAGGCTCGGCTGGGTAACGCGTGCTGACGCAAGGCGCTGTCGGATACTGGAGCGGTATTCAAACCGTGCCAGCATAAGCGCAGTTCCCATGCGTTTCATGACGGAGTGCCCCGCGTGAGCGCCCAGCGGCACCTGCCAGCGACGCTCATTCACCGAGAGCTCTCGGCCCAGCCGCTGTCACAGCGTTCCGCCCCGGCCGGCCGGCCGCTGCGCGCACAGACCTGGTCTGGAGCGAGGTGTCGGTCGCCTCCGACGCTCGCATCTCGGCCAGCACGGCGCCGTAGTCGGCCGGGTCGCAGACGACCGTGACCCGCGCGTGGTTCTTGGCGGCGGCGCGCAGCAAGCGTCACGCCCCTGCGCCGATGAGGAGAGGGGGGGGGGGGGGTGATACCGGCGGCGGTCGTGCGCGAGCGCTCGTGGCCCGGCTCGTGGCGGCGTGAGGGAGGGCCATACAAAGGCTGGGGACCGCGCTGAACAGTGCACCGGTGCATCCAGCGGCTGAACTGGATGCACCGACGCATCCAGTCCGGCATCAACAACAACGACCATCAGCCCGACAAACAGCGATCACAGGATGGACCAGGGACTCCCAAGAAATAGAAGAGGCAGCAATGAATTCTCACGAATGTCAGCACAAATTGTCGTTATTGGCCTTTCAAAAGTATCCTGCTGGTTCCCAAACATGGGGGTTTAGTATGAGAAACATCATTCCACGGGGTTTATCATCAGTTTTGTACATGCTTAACTAACAACTTACAAAACTTCAACACAACTACACCTACACTTCCGTACATCCCCCTCTCCAGTCTTGCTTTCACCACGTGTCACCACTGCATCGCTGCATGTCAAAACTGGGTGACGAACGCCGCGACACACCCCACTCACCGATGTCGATCTGCTCGACCGCCTCCGGCAGCGTCACGTCCGGCTTGGCCACCGTCTGCGCGAACGGGTACAGGTTGCAAACGACGACGCCGATCATGCGGAAGCCCTGCGCCGCCATGTCGCTCTGGTCCGACTGCTCCAGTCGGCTCAGGATCCCTGCCGGGCGGACCCGCTGCTTCACAGTGCTCGCGGCCCGCGGCGCCGCGCGAGAACGGGCGGAGCGGCCGCCGCCACCCACTGACTACCCCGGTGAATACGGTGCCAATCATTTGTGCTGGCGTGCAAAATTCATGGACTGCTGGGTGGGGGATGCAGAAATTAGCGGCATGCCCCGGACTTGGAATCCCGAGGCTCGGATTCGGCTCCTGCACGTTGCGTCCATGTTTAACTGGCCCCACGCTGGCGTAGTAAATCTCGAGATGCCTCCCCCCCTGATGTAGTAAATCTCGAGCTGCCCCCCCCCCTGATGTAGTAAATCTCGAGCTGCCCCCCCCCCTGATGAAGTAAATCTCGAGCTGCCCCCCCCCCCTGATTGTAGTAAATCTCGAGCTGCCCCCCCCCCTGATGTAGTAAATCTCGAGATGCCTCCCCCCCTGATGTAGTAAATCTCGAGCTGCCCCCCCCCCTGATGTAGTAAATCTCGAGCTGCCCCCCCCCCCTGATGTAGTAAATCTCGAGCTGCCCCCCCCCCCTGAATGTAGGTAAATCTTCGAGATAGCCTCCACCACCTGATGTAGTAAAAATCTCGAGAGGCCTCCCCCCCCCCCCCTGATGATAGTAGATCTCGAGCTGCCCCCCCCCCTGATGTAGTAAATCTCGAATGGCCTCCCCCTGATGTAGTAAATCTCGAGCTGCCCCCCCCCCCTGATGTAGTATCTCGAGCTGGCCCCCCCCCTGATGTAGTAAATCTCGAGCTGCCCCCCCCCCTGATGTAGTAAATCTCGAGATGCCTCCCCCCCCTGATGTAGTAAATCTCGAGATGCCTCCCCCCCCCCCCTGATGTAGTAAATCTCGAGCTGCCCCCCCCCCCTGATGTAGTAAATCTCGAGATGCCTCCCCCCCCCTGATGTAGTAAATCTCGAGCTGCCCCCCCCCTGATGTAGTAAATCTCGAGATGCCTCCCCCCCTGATGTAGTAAATCTCGAGATGCCTCCCCCCCCCCTGATGTAGTAATCTCGAGCTGCCCCCCCCCCTGATGTAGTAAATCTCGAGCTGCCCCCCCCCCCGCTGATGTAGTAAATCTCGAGATGCCTCCCCCCCCCCCCTGATGTAGTAAATCTCGAGCTGCCCCCCCCCCCCTGATGTAGTAATCTCGAGCTGCCCCCCCCCTGATGTAGTAAATCTCGAGCTGCCTCCCCCCCCCCCTGATGTAGTAAATCTCGAGCTGGCCCCCCCCCCCCTGATGTAGTAAATCTCGAGATGCCTCCCCCCCCCCCCTGATGTGTAATCTCGAGCTGCCCCCCCCCCTGATGTAGTAAATCTCGAGCTGGGCCCCCCCCCCTGATGTAGTAAATCTCGAGCTGCCTCCCCCCCCCCCTGATGTAGTAAATCTCGAGCTGCCCCCCCCCTGATGTATAAATCTCGAGCTGCCCCCCCCCCCTGATGTAGTAATCTCGAGATGCCTCCCCCCCCCCTGATGTAGTAAATCTCGAGCTGCCCCCCCCCCCTGATGTAGTAAATCTCGAGCTGGCCCCCCCCCCCTGATGTAGTAAATCTCGAGCTGGGCCCCCCCCCCCCTGATGTAGTAAATCTCGAGCTGCCCCCCCCCCCCCCTGATGTAGTAAATCTCGAGCTGGCCCCCCCCCCTGATAGTAAATCTCGAGCTGCCCCCCCCCCCTGATGTAGTAAATCTCGAGCTGCCCCCCCCCCCTGATGTAGTAAATCTCGAGCTGCCTCCCCCCCCCCCTGATGTTAAATCTCGAGCTGGCCCCCCCCCCCCCTGATGTAGTAAACTCGAGCTGCCTCCCCCCCCCCTGATGTAGTAATCTCGAGCTGCCCCCCCCCCCCTGATGTAGTAAATCTCGAGCTGCCCCCCCCCTGATGTAGTAATCTCGAGCTGGCCCCCCCCCCTGATGTAGTAAATCTCGAGCTGGCCCCCCCCCCTGATGTAGTAATCTCGAGCTGCCTCCCCCCCCCTGATGTAGTAAATCTCGAGCTGCCCCCCCCCCCTGATGAGTAATCTCGAGCTGCCCCCCCCCCCCTGATGTAGTAAATCTCGAGCTGGCCCCCCCCCGTGAGTAGTAAATCTCGAGCTATCATCCGCTGACGGATTTCCGAGAGTGTAGCCAGACTCCAGTGACGTACCGGCGTGGATGGCCGGGTGCAGCGTCTTCACCCGGCCGCCGAGCATCTCCGGCGCACCCGTCACCGTCGACACGTCCTCCACGGGAATGCCGGCAGCTCGGATGGCGGCGGCGGTGCCGCCCGAGGCGACCAGTGGCAGGCCGGCCTCGCCAGACCACGGGCAAAGTCCACCAGACCATGCTTGTCAGACCACTGAGCAGGGCTGAAACACCATAGGTACATGAATTTTGATTATTTTAACAGAGTTGAAACAGATTTAGTGAAATACTTTGAAAACTTGCTGTGTAATCTAAATTAATCATTTCATCATGTTCACTACATACCTATTACCTTAAAATTCATGGAAATCCCCAGATTGATGTTGTTGAATAATGCTGAGCAGGCTGCATGCATAGAATCCAAGAAAATTAGGAGCTTAAGAAACCAGCTACCTCAGACCCTATAACACGAGTAAACCCCCATCCATTTATCTCTACACAGAACCTACCCATTGGTTTAGCCATCATGCTTTGGGATGATTGTTGGTTTGGTGGTCACTTCAAACCTGGAAGAAAAGCCCACAGATGAATTCTGATGGCAGATGCACATCTGGCATGTGAAGCAGCAGACAACCACCACAACAAAGACAAATGAAGGGCTATGTTTTGCAACTACCTTTCCCGTTCCTGCAAAGATGACTGACAAATATTAGTGAATCATGAACATTCCTTGAATGAATCTCCTTCACTGCCACTGCCACCTTCACATCACTGATCATAAGATCAGTTGGTGATGAATATCATGAGACCACTGACCAGTTAGTGATGATCATCATGAGATCATGATCAGTGATTTCATTGCCATGATGCTGACATATGTATGCTGATACCAGGCATGTAGTACATATCAGATTCTCATCAAACACACTCCACCCACAGACCTTGCCCCTCATCGACGATATCTTTGATTATCCGAACCATGTAGGCATGCGCCCACATGCCCCAATGTTACAGGCCCACCAATCCGTTGTTACGTTTCTGACCGACATCATCCAATGTCAAATCAAAATTCGCGGGACAGGACTCGCTCCAAGCCAGCCATAAGCCTCTTACCTGTGCTCACGTCAGCTACGAGCGGCGTCTCAGGCTGGCCCGGGGATCAATACTATCCGTGCGGACCGCAGACTGTGAGCAGGGCTGAGCGATGCACCCAGAGCACGTGCGCACCACGAGATCAGTCCGCGCGTGCAATGACGGCGCTTTGTCAGACGACCTTCGCGCGACCTTCTCAACAAACCAGATCGCGCGCTTGCACCATCACCCCTTCTCATATTGCCTAGCAACGCCGGTTACGCGCCACGCCTCCTCAGCGAAACAAACTCGAGGCAGGCGTACAGCGTTGTAGCGGTCCAGCCGGCATTCAGACAATTTGTCTCGGAACTCTCCCACTTCCCAGAACTTCTCCCAAATTTCTGTGTGCAAGCGCTCGGCCAGATACTGCGCCTTGGCGTGGGTGCAACTTAGTACATCTTGTCCTGGGAGCCACACTTTGTGAAGACACTGTGCATGATAGCACGTGACGCAGCCGAAGCACGCGCACGCCGCGAGAGTTGGAGGGGCCACGGCTCCCAAACACAGCCGTCGTCCCGCGTCCCCTCCATTGGGTAATAGCATCTGGCACGTCAACCCAGAAATCAAAAGCAACCCCATGCTGAATGCACTGGACAGGAAATAGAAGACATGCAGGGACCTCTCTACAAACATGGGTTTACTCACCCCCCCGCCCCCAATCTTCACGAAGCTCCGCCATGTGCGCTAACCTCAGGGATGCAAATGTCGTAACCTAACATCGCAAGTTGCGAGTCATATTTTAAAGCGCTTGTGTAGAATTGCCCCGTCGCGAACCTAACGCATGCAAAAATCCCACAGGAGAGAGAGAGAGACGTGGTCCCGAGAGCGGATGTTATACGAGTAAGTCCCCACTTATCGCAAGGGTGGACCAGGGATTTCCGAACCCGGCACCTAAATGCACCCAGTGCGGACATCCACCACACCCCACAGAGTATAAGATGAAGCGGCCGGACCAGCGAGGTTGTCTCATTAAGCGGGGGTCCGGCGGCAGGCGCGGGCCGGATCGCCCGAATGACGATTCGGGGTCAAACTGTTCCCAGGGCAACTCTGCCCGATCTAAGAACTG